CGATAGCAGTCCCTCTCTTTGAGCGCACGTCACGTGGAAATAGGATTTACACATTCCTGCGTCACAACAGATACTAATACCGGTTCGGCTGAGTCTGTCGTCTTCGCACAAAATGCACGCCTTTTTCGCATTAAAAGACAACAATTTTTAAAATAAAATAATGAGTTAATTGTGTGGAAAAGTCATACTTTAAGACCCCATCGAGAATAGGGTAATTCAAAAAGAGTGAGTCCTGTGAGTCGTGTGACGTCACCGAATGCAACGCCGGGTATGTATAGCGCGCACACCATATGAACCCAACTATTATTTCAATTAAAAAAATGTGTTATTATTTGTCACAACTCTTGTAAATCAAGTCTAACTTGAGATGACATACCGGCCAACATCTGTCGCTTTGAATATTCCGCCAGAATTTGGACACAATTCGCAATACTTTATGTGAAAAATAAAAATTAAGTTTTGATAAATGATATAAAAATTGAGATAATAATGACGAGACTGACTGGATTGGAGACACAGGCCCGACACGGGTCACAAAACCACGGCTCAGTTGATGCCGAAGATGTATTGGAATGAACTGATTCAGTGTCATCGGAACAAATACCATAACACCCCTCGTGTACTGATATACCACACGAATCGCATTCAACGATTTCATCATCGCTTCGAGAAATATCACCCAAACAGACACTACAGACCAATATTGGAGTTGCGCTGAATGTCTGTCGCGGAGGTGTTCTGTGGCCGACAGTCGCCAAAGAATCCGATGGTTTGGACACAGATTTCTTAGATTTTAATTTACTGTTATCTTTGCTCGACTTCGGCTCCTCATCGCTGTCGTCGTCGTCGTCTTCATTGTCAGCGCTCTTATCGTTGCCATCACTGGAGTCGTCGTCGATATCGTCGTCGTCTTCGACGGTATCGTTGGGCACGTATTCGCTGTCGTCGTCGCTGTCATCCAAATCTGTGGCAAATATCAGACTCTCAACCGGTNTCCAAATCTGTGGCAAATATCAGACTCTCAACCGGTTTTACTTTCCTCTTCTTGGGATCCCTTTCGACTTCACGTCCAAAACAAACAAACAATTAATCATTGAATCAATAAATTATAATAATTATCAAAATCTAACTCATTGTCCGGTAGAGGAACCCGAGGTCTAGGCTATCGTTCGGCATCTCTTGGGATCAGATGAGTCAACACAAGACTGTTTTGGCCACAAATTAAGTGTAAATCCAATCAAAAAGAAACGACAAAATTATCTCAAAATTAAAGTTTGAATCAAAAAATAAATTCAAAATTAATTTCAAAGACAAGAAATGATGTGAAAAAGTGTTCAACAAATCAATAATTCATTTGAAACACAAAATAACGTCTTTTAATACAAATAACTTATTAATGAATTAAACTTAAATTATTTAATTTAATTGTAATTTTATTACAAATTTTATTTACAGACATTGTCTGGACTTAAATTTATTTATCTAAATTATAATTAAAACAAAGTATTAATTGTAAATGACTTTAATTAATAGTAAAGTTTAGCTAAAAGTGATTGTAATTTATGTGAAAACTCATTGTCTATTCATTTGTTTGTTTGAATGAAAAGCACAACAAATAAATTGCAATTCATTTCAAATAGAGTTTAATTAACGACTCGTTTGACAATTAAATTGAGGCAAAAGTGCAGACAAATTGTGACCAAAAGTCAACACAAATATCATATCAATTTGTTTGCAGTGATTGAGAGATTGAGACAAAGGGATGACAGATATGGACAAAACAAACCATCGGATGTTAGCCATCGCTAAACAGGTATCGAGTGATTGATTGTCTCATTAATTGATTGTTTGGTAAACCGATTGCTTGGATGCAGAATATGGTGGAGTCTGGAGAACGGGACCAATTGATGCAATTGTTGCGGACACGACTTCTGGAGTGCGGATGGAGGGATCAGGTGGTGATGGAGTGCAAGGATGTGGT